GTTTTTAAATTCCCCCACCCATTCACAGAGGTATAGATTCACAGATAAATAACCCAAAAACTACTTGCTCGCCATATTTACACATTCCCGTTAAATTAAGCATAAATAAATATATACAAACTCAATACTGAATGCCTCTCCGCATTTCTTCTCAGGAAGAGTCGATAAACTGATATTTCTCACTGCATGGTCAGATTTTTTCAAGAAGAGGAGGTGAAAGGGATCGTTTGGGGCATAAAAGGAGATTTTTTTTTTTTCTCTTATCTTCCCAGTTTCTCATTCGCTTTTTCAGAGCTTTGCATTTGTTTGGGGTTTTTCCTTTATTTCTCGCTGGCACACAATGTTTCGTCTCTCTCGAAATGTTCAGGCGTTTGCCAGTGTGTTTGGGGATATTTTCTTTTACTTTTTCCCTTTGTATAAGAAAATATACTATTTGTAAAAAGCCTATGGTCTCTCTCACACAGGGAAGCCGGAGGGGAGGGGGAGTTTGGCCGGATCGATCTGGCAATGCTTGCGGCAGCTGAAACGAGCACCAAATTCTCCGAGAAACGTATTAAAACAGAGCCGAACAGGTCTGTGTGATAAACCGGTCAGAAAGAGATGAGCAGGGGAAGGGAATAAGCCCTTTGGGCACAGCTAAAGGTCTTAAAACCATCCTCCCCCCCACCCCCACCCCGCCCCAAATGCAAATTTGGGGATTTTGGGGGAGGTTGGTCTGGGATGCAAAGGGACTTGAAACAGCTTCTCACAGAGAATTTCTATTAGGTGGGACAAGACACGACCCGATTTTAAAGAAATCATCGGGTTGTAAAAGGATTCCCATAAAATTGGCTTCTTGTTTCCTTCACACCTTGTGTGAATAACAACCAGGAAAAAAAAAAAAGTCAGGGAGCGTACGAAAACAAAGATCTTTCCAACGGAAAATAGAGAATTGTTATTAAAAAAAGAAAAGTGAGACTAAGAATGAAATAAAATTTACAGCAACCCACCTGTTTGGTTTGAAAACAAACTTTTCACGGTCTCTCCTCAAACTTTTCCCTTGAGTTAAAAAGCAAAGCTGTTGTGTTAATCCTCCTGTTTATTGATTTATGATCCCGAGGAAACCAAATCTTTTAATAACTCAATTATCAGATAAACGTCTGAGGTGCCCCGCCAACACAAGTAGTTGGGCTGGGAAAGTGCAGGGGAGCAGGAAAATGCCTTCCAGCGCGAGGCTGAGTTTAGTTTTTGGGGGACCTTATCTGCTCAACTGATAGGAGCCACAGAGCAATGGATATTTCCCTCTGGGACCAGCACTAGGCCAGCAGGAAGAACAGAGGTGGATATACTCCCACGCCATGTTTTCTGCCTGTTTGCATTTAAATCAGAAGCCTCGTGGATATTGTCTCCGTACTTTGGGGAGCAAATGGGGGGCATCCCACTGAAATCAATGGGAATTTTACATTTGGCTTTTTTTCGCCTGAGCGAAGCACAACCTGGCATTTGCAGTGTGTCTCTTCCAGGTAGAAGGCACGAGGGGCAGATCCAAAGTTGCTGGGAGTCAACTGAAACTCTTCCCTCAACCTTCTCAAGGTTTAGGTCCTGGTCCAGGTGACCAAACCTGAGCCTAGGGGAGATTTCAGCAGCAGCAGCAGCAGGATCAGGCCCTCACACATGCGTGAGCATGTGCACGTGTGTGTGCAGGTCTTCCCCCAAGAAGTTGCAAGTGGTTCCCTCTCCTCATTAACTCACAGTGGTGGTGGGATACTGTCTTCTGCAGTTAAAAGGAGCATGCCAACATCCCCCCAAAGACAAGGAAGGACCATCCCCAACATCCCCCCAAAGCCTTCAGCTGGAAGCTCTGGGGTGGCAGGGAGCAGGTCCCCATGTCCCTGTGTGTGCAGGTGGGGAGGTGGAAAACTGAGAGCTAACTTGGGGTCTCCCCACACCCGGGAGCCCCACTGGGCTGGGTGATGCTGAAGGGCTGGGCCCATGGGCTCTTCACAAAGGCTTTTTGCAGAGGGCAGGCAAAACAACGTTCAATACTTTGTGCTCTGCTTCAATAAACAGAATCTTTTCATCTTTCAGGTGGTGCCACTCATTCCTCCCCAGATACACACACACACACGCACACCCCCCTTCCCTTTCCCGTGCATCACTGCTAGGGCATGCCCTACACTGGAGCTTGGATTGTCCTTCCCCAGGGGCCTGCTGAAATTGGGGATGGTTGGCAAGGAGTAGGCTTTGGAGGACCATGGGCTGCCTGGGGGCTGCTTTTCAATCTGGGGGTCCCTAACCTACGGGTAGGGGATCCGTGAGCTCTACATCACCCAGGGATCCACACCTCCTTTGGTGACATCCCCAGAGGCGTGCCAATTACCAAACCCACTGCCAGGGACCTGCCAGGGTCAAAGACTACCTCCAACTCATCCCAGCAGCCCATGGAGAAGGCTGTCTGCCTCAGTTTCCCCCTTTTCTCACATGAGAGTCCCCACAGCACTCTGCCCCAGAAGAACCAAAGGTACACGAATGAGGAGCAGCTCCAGAAGAGTCACTGCTCCTTGGGGCTGGATGATTCCGGGATTTCTATTGCTACACACATGTCTAACTCACAGGTAGGGAACAAAAGCCGAGACCTTCATTTGCTGCACGAAGATCTGAAAAGCAGAGCAGGCCCTCAGCTGTAGCCATTTCTCAGATGTCTAAGGACACTAAGGGTGACAATCAAGAGGCTCATTTGCTTTTTTTGTTTTAAGAAAATTTTGTTGGGGGACATTGAGAGTATTGCTGAATTATTTCTCCCTCACCATCCACTTTGGAAGGTATCTAGAAACTAAAACAAGGCTAAGCCTTCTCTTCTCTCTCTCTCTCTCCCACCTTGTTCTGAGTTCAGGTGTGCCCGCTTGGGTGGGTGGGATTGAGTGCTGCAGCTTTAACAGGGATCCCAGGAGGGGGAGCTGACCCCACTGGAGTTTTGCCAGGAGAAATCTCCTCTCCAGGAGATTTACCCACACCCAGTAACTGTTCTGACATAAGCAAAAAGATGTGTTAGTGCACGAACCCTACCCCACTGAGAAAGACATGCAATTACCCACTACGGCAGAATCCAAACAGAAATTCATATCCTTACACTTCAGCATTATTTTTACCGTAGAAGACAGAGAAATGTATGTTAAAAAAGAAAAAAAGGAAAGAAATCAGACTTCCCCTCCACCCCCCCAAATCATATGCATAAGACATCCTGTCACACACCAAACCACCAAGAAAAACATTGGAGTTAAGAAGTTTTTTCCCCCTACCACACCGACTTGTTCTAAAGCAAGAGTCACAAGACATTTTTTTTTAAAAGCTTTCTAAGAGACACAGATTTCCTCAGACTGAGCTCAGAAATCAGGATATTCCCTGGCAAGCCCTCCCCACTCCCATCACGAGGAGCCAGCTCACATGGCAACCCTTTCCTCCCTGGGTACAAAACCCTAGTGCCAAGCAAGTGCGGTAACATTCAACACAGCTCTTATTTTCTCTGCAATATTACACCTCGATTTCAACTTATATTTTTGTCTCATTCAAATTATTCCCTTTGAGCTTCTTTAAAGAAGTGCACCTACAGAATTCGGAAACAACTGGTTTTGATTTGAAAAAGCAAAAAAAAAAGAAAAGTATCAGAATATCAGAATTGTGGATTTTTTTTCTCTGTACCTGATATATTGTGTAGGGATCTCTAGTCCTCTTTGAAGAAGCTCATAAGCCAAGCGGGCAAAGCTTTAGGAAACAGAAGAAAATAAAATAGTGCATACTCCTGAGAAAGAATTACATACTCATATCACTCATTTTTTGTTGCTGTTAACAGTTCTTTAAAAATGGGGGAAGATATCTCTCACACACACTACTCAAGGAAATTAAGGACTGAAATATTGGCATAGTTAGGAATATAAAACTCCCTAGAGAAAAAGAGGAGATCTCAGAAAATTAAGAAATCGGATAGCGCTGACATTTTACCAGACCTTACTTTCAAATTTTGCAACCCATTATAGGCAAGGCATTTTACCATCAAAGGCAAGTACTAAATTATAAAGGTATGTTTGCATGCATGAATATGTGTGGCTATACACACATATTTTTTATATATATATATGTATATATACATATATATACATATATATACAAACATACATAGGATACACACGCACCCTTATCAAGTTATGTGTCTGCATACGCATATGCACACACATACGCACTCACAGGAAAACCAAAAAAAGTTCTTAAAAAATAGAGTTAGCTAATTTGACTGAGCTACGACGACTTGAAACTTCCCGTCTAATGGCATCTAATGTCAAGAGGCTGCCACGAATGCAGCTCGAACTGGCTGGTGTTGATGACTTTGTGAGAGGTCTGTGCGCTCGCCTCCCCTCCTTTCCTGGTCTAGACAGAACCAGGGTGGTGAGATGAGATGGGGAGAGTTGGGAGGAATGAGGCGATGGGGTTGCTCAGAAAGGAACACTCTGAAAGATCATTTTAGGTGGAGAAAGGACGTCATTTGAAAAAAAAAAAAAAGAATAAAATAAAAATAATAGCAAGACAGACCGTGCAGCTCAAGAAATCAAAGCACTGACACCAAAAATGTTTCTCCGATTTCTTCCAATAAGTTATTCATTTCTTTCTTTTATTATTATTATTAATTATTATTATATTCCCCTGCCCCCCAAATCATTATTTAAAAAATGTGAAAGAACAGAAGTGGGAAAAAAATCCTGGTGGTTGTCTTCACATGTTCCTGGCAAGAGACTCTGAACCACTGGTCTTGCGCCATTGTGCTCCTCTGATCTTAAATTATTGTCTTTCTTTTATTATTGTTATTATTATTTTTATTATTATTATTATTATTATTTTGTCCTACCTAATAGAATTCTTCCAAAGCCCAATTCAGTATTTTTAAAGCTAAAATTAAGACGGTTTTGTTTTAAAAGATTATCTCTCTCTTTTCTCCTTTTATTTATTTAACTTTTTTCTTTTCCTTTCTTTTTTTTTTTTTCCTCTCTCTCTCTCTCATTTTCTGTGTTTCTCTTCCTTGTCTCCAGTTTTACTACCTGGTCCTTCGCCAGATGTGTGCCTGTTAGCAGTGTTGTTGTTCAAGAACATCTTGTCCATGCCTTTGAGAGCTTCAGTCAGGTAGTTTTGAAGGGCCGTGAGGGCAGCGCAGATAGCGGGGGCCCCAAAGCCGTGAGTGATGAGGCTGAAGTGAGTCAAGCAGCTCTGAATGCCCGGTTCCAAAATAGGGGTGGGCCGGCTGTTTCCAATGGGCGTCCTGTCCTGGGCCAAGAGATCTGTAAATTCTTTACAAAGTTGCCTGCACGGAAGACAGAAAGGCAAAGAGAGGACGAGAGAGAGAGAAAAGTGATGGTTAGGCTCATCCCACACTTCTCTGAGAAAATCAAGGTTGAAGGAAGGGGCAGGTTCAGGCCAAAGGTGATCCCAAGCCCCAGGATGGGACCTTTTTGCCACCTTCCTTTCCCCCAGCAGTGCTTGGGGACCAGCCATGGTGAGCCAGCAGCTCCCTGCTCAGGATGATGTTCTTCAGGAGAGAAGTTTCCGCACTTGCAGGGTAACACCAGGTCTGGAGATAGAAATCTCTACGGCAGCCACAAGGATGCTTCTGGAGCACTGTGAAAACCCAGCCCTGCTTGGTGGCTCTAGAAATAACCAGGTTGAAAGGGAGATGTGCCATGGGTCTGCCAACCACTCGTCTTCCTGGAGGCCTGACCCTGGCTCAAAGCGGCTCGCACAAATGCTGTTCCTGGAGGAACGCACGACCATGCACCGAGAGCTACTGGGTGGCACAGGGACACGGTGCAGAGAAGGGCCAAAATGGAGCCTCCTCTGAGACTTGCTCAGGCTGGGCCACCCTAACAAGAAAGATCAGGACTTTGGGACTCCATGTTGGCTTATTCATTGCATGAAGCGCAAAGCTAGTGTTTTCTATTTTATTTTGGGGGGTGGCATCCCACCTAACACATCAGAGTTGGCATCTGGCTCTTGTTTGTTTGCCCACGCCTTTGCAAAATCAGATTTGATTTTTATAATGAATTCCCACACACACACACTTTCTTTTGCATTGCTCTGGTCCAAAAGGCCTTTGAGTCAACAGGTGCCCGGGCAATGTAGAAACCCTGGGGGCTAGTGGAGTTCCCAAAGGAATAGTTTCTTTGAGACAGATGCCAACCCAGGGACTGGAGAAAAAAGGGCTGGAATTAAAGAAGGAAAAAAGAAACCCTTAAAAAAGGCGTTCAGCTCTCATCCTCTGAAATTCTCTGCAATTCCCAGTGGGTTAAAGGTTTCAGAGGGTGGGGAAAGATAAAGGTCTACTTCTATGTGTATTATCCATTAAGAAAGTGCAAGAGAGGAAACTTTGAATTTGGAGAACAAACAGTAATGAGTCCAACATTTTACATCTTCAAAGAGCAAAGCAGGGTCTGCGAGCAATTAAAGTTCTGGGACATTAATATCTTCTGACCCTGCGGAAAAGGGCAATCAAATTCCAATCACGTCTAAAAAACATCTGGACAAATTTGAGCAAATGATTTTTCAACCCTCCATATATTTCTTTAAATTACACTGTCATCGGAGGCAAGACACGTCCCAGAGCATGAAATAAATGAAAGCTGTTTGGGCTGGGGTTTTTTTTTTCTTTTTCTTTCTTTTTTTTCCCCTTTTTTTGCTGGATAGACGGAGATGTGTGGAGACACACAGCACCCACCACCGAGGACCCGAGCAAACTACCCAGTCAGTAGCCTGGGAGGCACAGCCAAGTGCAAATCATCCGATACAGCACATCCACCGAGAAAGGCCCAAGGGAGAGAGATGGGTTGGGGGGACCAAACCGAGGATCATTAGCCGTACATGGTGGTGGGTTTTTTTCTTTTTTTCCTTTTTTTTTTCTTTTTTTTTTTTTATTGAACCATATGGAAAAGACATTGCAATTTGGTAGCGGGCAAGCAGGTGTGTGTGAGCAGCAGGAGGAACAGACAGACATGCTGTGGAAGCAAAATATAGAGTTTTGGCCCCCTTTCCAGAAAGATTTTATGACTGGGGGTGGCTTGGAAACCATGTACAGTAGGTAGGGGACAGTCGCCTACATCCTCTATAGGGACAGTGTGTGTTGGCAGAAACCCCACTGCAGAGGGACGCAGAGGCTATAGGGTCTACCCTGCCCATAGGGTGATAGGAGCATCCTTCCTCCCCGCGGGGCCGTTGTAATTTAGGGACTGGAAATTCCAAAACGGGCTCAGAGGAAGGGTTTGAGTAGGGGGGAGGATTTTCTCGGGGGAGGGCAGAAGGGGGGTAGTCAACTTCGCACTCACTTTGTAGCAAGCAGCATGTTTTTCCTGGAGTGGAGGTCGCTGGGGTCCGTGTGCTGCCTGTTCAGGTACTCCGAAACAGCTTTGGCTGGGAACTCCGTTTCGCAGATGTACCCAAAATCCCGAGCTAAATGAACGGCCTCACCTGGAGGGAATGAGAGGGGGCATTAACACCTCCGGGCACCCCCGGCCCCAGGCTGGGCTGGCCCCGACCTGCCGAGGCACCGAGCGGCACCGGGCTGCTGCTCCCCGCTCCCTCCGGGAGAGACCAGCTCTTTCTGGGCCGTGTTTAGAAACCTTATAACATCCCCTGCGCCTTAGGACAGGCTCCAGGTATATGTTTTCCCTCCGCAAGCCCTATTTTGGGGGGGCAGAAGTAAGTTGATGGGACAGATTTTCAGCGGATGAAATCTGTCTTTGCTACAACGCGCTTGTGGTGGTGGGTACCGCTGCAGCTGATGGCGCAGAACTGTGGGAAAAGTACGCACACACATACACACGCACACGCACACGTACACTTGCAAATGAGCTGGGCCAAAAAAAAAGGCAAGAGGAAACTTAAATCCCGAAAGACAGAAGGATCCGAACTTCCCTTAGAGCAAAGGAACCATTCCTGTTTCAATACACCGGAACACTGTCCAAAATTTTACAGACGTGGACATAATGTTGGTATTAATGTCAATTCTTTGTGGGACATTACATACACGCTTGTTTCTGCAAAGCACTTGCATCACGATCACAATTATCGCCACATCTGTAAAATGATGGAAACAACCGCGTTTCCTCCGGTGGAAATTGTTAATCTGCTTTCTTAACTGACCACCGTGCAACAGGAACTCCGCTCTGCCCGGTGGAAGGAGAGCAACTAATGGCAACCTGTTCTGTGAAAAATAATAATTATTCTAACTCTAATTCTAACTGTCACTTTTCCTGCCTGCCCGGTTTCAGGTTTCTTGCCTCCAGAGGTTCGTGTCATCCAACTCCTACTGATGTACTTTATGCCACAAGAAGACGACAGTAGCTGAAGAAAGGAGAAAAAGAGGAAAAAAACCCCAAACCCTCCGACTCTAGGGGGATTCCACCAGATTACAGCTCAGCCCCTCTAGAATAAAGCATTAAACCCTTTAAAGCACCGCCTGAGGGACCGGGGGGGGGAAGATTTCCAACACGCAAACCAGATGCGTCTAATAACTCCAGGACCACATTATTTTTAACGATCAGGAGCTGCTTCCCAACGTCATCTTCTGCTTTCCAAGGCTTCTCGCTAATCGCCAAACCGCTTAATGAAAGCGAGGGCACCCGGCTGAGCCCGGGGAGTCCCCGCCGCGGTCACCCCGCGCCGGGCAGGGTCCCCCCGGGCACCGCTGGGGTAATCCCGGCCGGGGCTGGACGGAGCCTTTCTGCTCTGGGCGGTACAAGAGCAGCAAGGCTAAAGCCTGGCTAAAGCCCGGCTGCTGGCAGAAAAGAAGATAAATCTCCAGCAGGTGCAGCTTCTTCCAAAAGGAGGGAGCTCTCCCAAGGGAAACTGT